AGCCCCGCCTTGGGACATTAAGCGCGGTGAAAGAGCGCAAGCGCGCCCAGAAGTCCACTACTGCCCGAGCGCGGGCGTATTCCAGGGGGGTTGCTGCTGCTGTTGCTGCTGCTGCTGCTGCTGCTGTTGCTGCTGCTGTTGCTGCTGCTGTTGCCGTCCCCGGTCCCGCGATGGGCCCCTGCGTTTGATCCTCGAGTACCGGCGCGTTCAGCGGCGGCCCCTCGTGCGGTCTCACTCCGTTGGCCAGGTGAAAGAAGTCCGTTATCCGCCGCTGTTGGGGCCCTTGCGCCTGGATCTGTTGCGCTTGCTCTGGCTGTTCTGTCGCGGGGTTAGCCGCCCTTTCCAGTCGCCTTCCGGCTGCTCGCAGACAACACCTGCCTACCTCCATGGCAGACAGGGCTGCCAGGGCGATCACATCCCAGGGGGCCTGCTCGCAGCCGGTCGGGGCTTGGACCAGCCACAGCTGCTTCCGGGTGATGCCGCCTGTCGCTGCCTCCTGGGAGGGCTGTATGTGTCGATCAATCTGCTCCCGGACAGCTTGTGCGACGGGGCACTCCCAGAAGTGGTGCATGCGTGGGGAGCTGTATGTATGTATGTATGTATGTATGTATGTATGTATGTATGTATGTATGTATGTATGTATGTATGTATGTATGTATGTATGTATGTATGTATGTATGTATGTATGTATGTATGTATGTATGTGCGTGTTAATTAGCCACCACTGCACGTATGTGGTTTTGTGACCGGCTTTGTCATCAGCGCGTTCCGAGGGGCGCATAGAATGTATCTAGCTATGAATCCGCTGAGCACGTCTGATCGCATCCTATTTCTGCCCCGCCCTGTAGAGAACATGCAAATCTACAATCCTGTACAAGATAAATGGGCCGTCGGGCCGAAACCGCCATTCAAGACTTCTGCTGCTGTTGCCGTGGCTGTCGGAGACACCATCTACTACTGCGGAGGCGTCGATGGGGGCAACAGTCGATCCGGCAAACCGATCAATAAGTGCGCGTAAGTGTATGTGAAGTGAGAGAAGAGCTCGACCTGTTCTAAAGGGCACTTAGCGAGTATCCCCAGCTTATTGCTTCCCAATTTCAGAGCGAGCTGGCCTCACCCATCCATGATACATGAATGCCCAACCTAGCTAGACGTCTGTAAAAAATGTTGCTTACCTAAAGATCGTGGTCGGGTATATTATTGTCTGAGTATGTATGTATGATGCATGTGCCTGCACACTGAATACAGGAAATTCCACGTGCCGTCCAACACGTGGTTGCCCATGGCCTACATGCCTCACGCCGTACACCACGCCTCCGCTGCCACGGACGGCAAGCTGTTTTACGTGTTCGCCGGGCGCGAGAGCATAGCTGGCACGGCTAGAAATCCCGTGAACTACACGCAGATCTACGACCCTAAAAAGAACGTGAGTACATGTGGGTACGGGAGATTTACGGATCCCTTCCTGATTGTCCTGAAAAGAATGAAAGACTGTAACACAGCAAAGGCGTAACCCGGGATGCTCAGATTGGCATTAGCGTCGTTACAAAGACTAAAAGCCCTTGTAGCATCAATAAAGTAGCCTTGGTGTGTGCAGAGGGTTTTGGGGAGTTAGGGCTTATGGTTGTGTGTTATATGTAACATACAATCAACTAACTCGCACTGTATATGCTGCTGCACCGGGCGAGCGAGATAATCCACTGCTGCTGTTAAGCCAGGTTGAACACTAGTGTACAGTACTAGGGTACAGTACTGCACCCTGCAATATTAGCAACAGAGCTTAAAAAAAGATGGCCGCGGTACCCGCATGCATCATACATACTTGCGAGGTGACCAGGAACTAAGTTTAGGCGTCGTTGATCCGCTAGATTTGGTTGGATGCTGGTGGTGAGTTGCTGAACCCAACGAATACATTTGGAAGTCGGATGGGGTGAACGGATTAGGGTGCCCCTCTCGCAGGGGAGAGCAGTCGGGAAAGGGGGTAGCTGGTGAAGCTATACCACCCTGTAACAACATACATACATGCGCTAGATAATCATCTTTTCATTTATACGTCTATCGTACCTATCGTAACTAATGATAGGTTGCTTGGTGCCCGTTACAGACCTGGAAATCCAACACAGATGTTGGTGGTCCTGCCGCTACACCAGTTGGCCGTGGCGGCATGGGTGGCGCCGCTTATTACGAGGGATACTTCTACCTCATAGGTGGTGAGGTCAGGTAAGTGTAACGGTCGTTTTCATTTCCAGCAGCGATGTTCATCTAGCTAGGAGTGACCCTTCCCATACATCAATCGTGCATGCATGTGTGTGGCCGCCGACTGCTGCTGCGGAACCACGCCTGCCGCCGCCGGCCCCCTCGGGCCATACATACTAGTACGCACTGTGCCACCTCGCTCGTAGTCCGTCCAGATACCTACATAGGGTGATTAGTGTGGATCACTTTTAAACACGAACATATTCCTTGATTGCTGCTGCTGCCTGCTGCTGCCTGCTGCCCAAATGAAGGTGTGGTGCCACGTGGATGGGCACGTGCCCCAACAACAAGCTCACTCTTGGTCCTCTGGGGGTCTTCAATCGCATTGACAGGTCTGTGAACTATAGATGCTAACTTAGCGCGTATAAATTGACGATATGTGTGTCGTACACTATACAGCTACTACATCTGTGAACTGGTGATGGGTTAGTCAAGTGACTACTGCGGTATTACACTGTAGTATGTCTATATTTTAAGACATGGATATTTACCGCACGACATGGTACCGCAAGGCGTGCACCATTGCCCCTGGGAGATCCCGGATTCGAGACCTGATAAGGTCGAAAATCCTTCCGATTGTGGAGGATAATGTCGATAGACGGTGGTAACCTTGGATAAAGTGATATTGCGAGCTGACCAGGAATGGAGTTGAGCTGTCGCCGGTCCGGAAGATTCCGTTGGGTGACGGTGGTGGGTGCGGGACCTGAGCGACCCACTTAGAAGTTAACTAGAATGACTAGATGAGGGTGCCCCGAAACACCGGGGAAGGCAGGGTTTCGCAGGGTAGCTGCCACGGGTGAAGATATGCCCCCCCTGTTCCACACATCATATACCGCGTCCACATACATGCATTCACTCTCACCTGTCCACCTCCTTTCGTTCACGTATTAGCTGGGGCCAAATTTCTTCCGTAATGCACCGCTGTCTCGTGTTACCGCGAAACAAACGGATTGTTTATTATGTAATAGTTCCATCTTGTGCTCGGTAATGATAGTAAGTCAGGTTCACCGCGGCAAATGGCCTAAGACTATGTACCGCATGCACGCCGTTGCACCTGTGTTCCGTTTCAGGTACAACCCCCGCACCAACACGTGGGACAGGGGTCTGCCGGGTATGTCTCTTGCACGTCATGGCGCATTCCCGGTGGTAGGTCCAAGACCCAAGGGCAAGCCTGGTACAGGCGACGTGGTGTTCGTGTGTGCTGGAGGTATCAAGCAAAGCTACAGCGAGGATACCCTATGCACGTACATGGATGCCATGTGATTGGAGACGGAGAGCGTGCAATCAAGCTGGACCTGAATATCCGTGCGTGTATCTGCCTACAGCATAGCGTAATGCGGGACATATCTGCATCAGCATCAGCAGTGCATTTTGCACATGATAAGCTAATATTTAGAATCTCATCGAGTAAAGCTACATCACATGTCCAATATCACAAGTCTAGGTACGTGTCGATTCCCCACCCCTGGTAGTGACGACGGGCTTCCACCGTTTCATTTTTTCAAGTATTGCGTGGTACGTCTATCTATGTAAGTGTTTTGGGTTATCTATAGATCATGCCGTGGTGTGGATCTGTAGCAGCCTTCCGTTGGTCGAGGATTACTAAGTTGGACTCTGTTGGACATGATTGTGTGTGTGTGGTTGTTACAGTGGGCTCCAGACTCCTGAAGAGTAGAGCCATCGGGCCAGCTGGCCGTGCACTGCAGTAGAGACTAATATACCAATAGAGACCATCACCTCCACTCGGGGAACGACTTGGTCATGGATGTGATCATGCGGGGGGTTTCCTGTCATAGATCTGGTCATGTTGCCTCATGACCACTCATGAGGCCTCATGACCGGTCATGTTACCGGTCATGAGGCAGAGTCATGGTCATGACAGTTGTCATGCTCCGAATGTGTGCGCACATGGCTCGATGGCTGTCCAGGTCTGGCTGTTGCCCAAATTCATGTTTTATCTTGTGAGAGATCGTTTTCCAAACACTAAAGCAATACGCCTTTCATTGTAAAAGCGAAAAACATGAATTCCATGACGGAATAGCGCAAAAGGAATACGCCACGAGTATTGTAATACGGCATGGCGTGAACCCCGGCGTATTGATACGCCATACGCCTGGCGTATTAATTTGAGGTACCATTATTACGCCAGACGGCCAAAACGAATACGGTCGCATCCCTGATGCTCCTTGCGCAGCATGTCGGATCATGAATTGCCACTCAGATATGTAAATTCAGTCATGTTCCCAATGGTCATATGCTGGCTATGTGTTCATGTTTTGTTCCTTTCTAAAAAGTGACAATTATATGCCATATGGACTCCCGAATCCCCTCTGAAATGCTGCATAGTATATTACCTCCATAACAATGTGCACAATGTACTATACAGCATCCCTGCCGGGATTCTGGAGTGCACTTGAATTACCTTCGTTTCAGCCACTTGCAGTGACTTGATATGCATTCAGGCGCGGCCGTAAACAAAGCCCTTAGGCTTAGCTGCACTTATCCAACGCAAAAGATCAGTATATGCCAGCTAGCAGGGCAACTTCCTTTTGGCCTGTTGCCAAGCCTTACTCGGTCAGCTCCCTTACACCCTGTTGTTAATTTGAAAGCCATATGTTATACATACTTAAGGCATGTATTTAAGGTTTAATTAGCAAAGATTCTCTCCTGCTGTGTTCAAGCATGACAAGTTAAGTCACCAGCTCGCACCGTCCCACAGGCACAGCATTGTTGATGTAACTAGCTAAAACATGTGGGAGGTGCATTAGTCTCAACCGCAGGCGCGGCGGCGGCCATACTCCACCCCCTGTCTTTGCACTGGTGCCGATATGCATGTGACCGACTACCAAACCAGTTGGCACAGTTGGTGCAGTGAAAAGGCTGGGAGGAGTCCGGAGCTACATCCGGTCTGTAAATGATCTTTCGTGGTTTGGATGCCACCTCCAGCGCATTCAATGACATGGCAAACTGGCTAATGTAACCAGTAAGAATGATCACAATGTGTAGGAATAGCAGAGCATTCACGTTTGTATCAATCGTTGAGCTTCTAATGCTTCTACACAACCAAGCATTTGGTCCCGCCATGACAAAAGAGCATCCTATTCTATGGCAGGTTCTGGCAAGGATTTAAATGATGCAATCAACAAAGTTCGGTAGCCACGAAACAACTTCCCAATATTGAATTTGCAGCCATGTGAACTTTATACCATGCTGTACACTTCCGGACCAGGGTCCGGAATTGTACGGCTTTTCCCCTCTTGCTGCCCAAAAGTCATGTGAACGTGGACAATTTGCAACACCAATAAGAAACGTCACTGCGTTTAGCACTATGTGATTGCTGTGCAAATTGCACCATCTGGTACCTCCCAGCCCCACCTTCGTCGCTGCCGCTGCTACTCCGTTGCTAATTCCCCCCGCCGCCGTGCCTGCTGTTGAGACTAATAGCCCTCCCAGCCCCACCTTCATCGCTGAAGCTGCTACTCCGTTGCTATCTCCCGCCGCCGCCGCGCCTCCTGTTCAGATTAATGCATCTCCCAGCCCCACCGCCGTCGCTGCTGTTGCTACTCCGTTGCTAATTCCCGCCGCCACCGCGCCTGCCATTTAGGCTACTGCACCTCCCAGCCCCAACGCCGTCGCGGCCGCTGCTACTCCGTTGCTAATTCCCCCAGCCGCCGCGCCTGCTGCTCTTGCTATTTCCCCCCCCACCACGCCTGCCGTTTAGGCTACTGCACCTTCCGACCCCACCGCCGTCACTGCCACTTCTGCTGCGTTGCTAATTCCCGCCGCCGCCACGCCTGCCATTTAGGCTACTGCACCTCCCAACCCCACTGCCGTCGCTGCCACTGCTGCTGCGTTGCTAATTCCCGACGCCGCCACGCCTGCCGTTTAGGCTACTGCACCTCCCAACCCCACTGCCGTCGCTGCCACTGCTGCTGTGTTGCTAATTCCCGCCGCCGCCGTGCCTGCCATTTAGGCTACTGCACCTCCCAGCCTCAACGCCGTCGCTGCTGCTGCTGCTGCTGCTGCATTGCTATTTCCTGCCACCGCCGCGCCTGCCATTTAGGCTACTGCACCTCCTAGCCCCACCTTCGTCGCGGCCGCTGCTACTCCGTTGCTAAATCCTGCCGCCGCCGCGCCTGCTGCTGTTGCTATTTCCCCCCGCCGCCGCGCCTGCCGTTTAGGCTACTGCACCTCCCAGCCCCAACGCCGTCGCTGCCGCTGCTGCTGTGTTGCTATTTCCCGCCGCCGTCACGCCTGCCGTTTAGGCTACTGCACCTCCCAACCCCACTGCCGTCGCTGCCACTGCTGCTGCGTTGCTATTTCCCGAGCTCAGATAATTAACCGCTCATCGGTAACCGCTCCCGTGAGCACAGCAATTTGCCAGATATAATTCTCAAGAAGGGGTGATGTGCGCCAACAGAATCCCAACCTTTCCGTGGAATTCCCAAAGCTGCGAAACCCTGAATGCGGCCCCAAAAGTCAACAATCACATGATTGGTCGCATACTGGTCCATTTCTAACATCGGTATACTTGCGGCATAAGGCAAGAAATGTGCTAAGGACGGTCGTACATTTACAAAGCGTTTTCCTCTGCATGAAGACTGTCACGCGGAAAATTCAATCTCATTACCGTAAGATTATCATACCATGTCTTACAGTTTAGCTTTTCGCAATTCCATACTAGCTTCGTTCACCGCAATGAACCTGGCCCGGAGCTGCGTAATCCGGTAGCTAAAATTGCGTAATGGAGTAGCTGCTGTGCTTAATGGGTAACTGCATCTTACGTTGGTAGTACAAAAGTTGTACGAATGGCGGGCGCGGTTGCCATATATAAGGCGCGGCCTGACCATTGCTTTCTAGGCAGTCTAACCATACCACTTCGCGCATGGGAGCAGGACGCGCCGGCCGAGGTAGTCTATATGAGTATCACCCTTACTTGGCGTGGACAAGTTCCCCCTTTTCATTCTGTTAATAACAACCGGCTTTTATTCTGACTCTGTCACCGAATACGGTCACGAATCGTTTCCCAGCTATCCAGTTTCCTTTCTCAGATCTAGGCTACGAGATTTCCCGTACGTCTTCAGATCTACGGCGAGGTTAAAACTCGATATTGGGCCTAGTGGTCTTGCAGCAAAACTCTGCCTACATAAGGCTCGCTAGCGCACCTGGGCCTGTGGCCTTAGAGCAAAACTCTGATTCTGCTTCCCGCTCGCGCACACAAATCTCTCGCTTTTATATATGCCGCTCATCTCTCGCTTAGTCAATCTACTGGTAGCGACTCCTTTTTGCGAAGCTTTTTGGGCTACCGCCGGGTGGTGCTCACCGCGGTGCGGCACACTATGACAATCCATTCTATTAAACCAGGGTGTGATCTATAAACGTTCAAAAGTGCAATCACGCAAGGCCAATCCGAGAACAGTTATCGCAGTAATGGCAAATTAGCGCACAATGCGTGAGGTAGGATGGTTCCAATACTCGTAATAATGACCGAGGACGTCGATTGCTAAGCGGGGGGCAATGTAACGACGCAAGGCCAATCTGAGAATCCTGGGTTACGCCTTTGCTGTGTTACAAAAAGATTCTAGCTATTGATTTCAGTAAGTTAGTACTGATGCGCCACGATGGATCTATGGGGGGATAACTTCCGGAAGTTATCCCCATCCAGTTAGCAGAAGTTATCCCCTAAAGCCATTATAACTTTCTTTGTCTGGAGATGTCTCGATACCAAATCTAGTAGCTGGCCGCTGAAAAGGCCTCTGGAGATGCTGGTGGTCGTGCTTCACGCGTACTTGTAGAGCCGTACTGTGTACCAGCTACTACAGGAGAATGCTTGGGGGTGAAGAAAGATGCAAATGTGTATGTGTGTAAGTGACTCGATCCGGGGAGTTCCCACATCCTAGCAATTCGCACCAATCTGAGATCGGCATAGAGTACTCCCTGATCAGGGAGTCCGAAGGGGGCCATTTCTTCCTTACACTGGAGGTCCTAGAGAAAGGTGGAGACATAGAATTAGCTACCCAGACGAAAAAGTGATGAATATGCAAAATGATTCGATTGCTAACTGCAACATGGCTTTCATAAATCGATGGATGTTTCAGTAACTTTACAGCTTTGTTCCATAAATACAACGGTTTCTTGGTGCCGTTGATATGAAAGTGGGGAGGCAACTCTCCTGGTCTCCACAAAGCCACCACCCACTCGCCTGCTGGCCCCCAGCCTGCTGGACTAGCCATTTCTGCACCCCCAAGCCTCTGGGCTTCCTGCTCGCCCGTGACCACACACCCAAGCAAGCTGCTGGCCAGGCCGCCATAAGAGTGGATGCATCCACCACATCACCCAGCTCTGCTGTAGCTTTGGGCTAGTGAAGAGCAGTATCCCATCATTTGGACAGGTTGACATCCTCCTGCTGTTACATAGGGCAATGCCCCAGTCCTGCTACGTACCACCATTGCCTCCAAACAGGTCCAGACCAAGTTCATCTCTCAACACTTCCACCTTAAGACATGCTTCCTGATAACCCACACCATATCCATCCCAACACTAACTGGTACTCGTGACTGCTCCTCTATTGTGCTGCTAACACTCCAAGCCCGTGGAGCTCCTCCATCAGCGCCTTGCTAGCCTGTATGTAGCAAAGGTCAGGGGAAAGCACACAGGAGATGAAGCCTAAACTAGCACCTGGTCATAACGGTCTGGTACCGGCAAGAACTCAAGTATAGTGATGTAGAGCTTAGAACAATATATTTTGCCACGTACCTTACTGCTTTTAGCTTCCGCTGAGTCTGCACATCAAAGGTGTGGGGAAACGGCATGATGACCACAGCTTGCTGGATGGGGCCTGTGTACAGAAATGAACATGCCTGTCATAAGCTTGATATGTCAGACCATATGCCACTCCCTACAGGAGCCACAATGAGTTAATTTGACACAGATAGAAGAGCCTGCCCTGCTATGCATAAACCTGCTAACAGTTCGACCCCATATTTTTGCTTACCTGGCATCACTTCTCCAGCATCCATTTCTTCCTTAGTAATCCTGCGCCTGCCTGTGTTCTCCTCCTTCCACATGATACCTGCCTCACCATTCTGGCCATCACTGGTATTACCACCCCTGTGTGTGCCACGGTCCTCCATGGGCCCCTCCCCACGGACCCTGCTGCTGTCAATCTGGCCCTTCTCATGAGTGTGGACATCACCACCACCCTGCCTGACACCACCCCTGTACATGCCATCATCCCAGCAGCCCATATCACACTGGCCACCAGAAGTGCCACCACCCCTGTAAGCACCATCCCTGTTGGTGCCAACAGCCCTGTTGGCGCCACCATCACTGTAGGCGCCACCATCCCTGGCGGCACCACCGGCCTTGTACGTGCCACCAGCCCTGTACACACCACCAGCCCTGTAAGTGCCACCAGCCTTGTAGGCCCCACCAGCCCTGTAGGCGCCACCATCACTGTGGGTGCCACCAGCCTTGTAGGCGCCACCAGCCTTGTAAGCACCACCAGCCTTGTAGGCACCACCATCATTGTAGGCAGCACCAGCCTTGTAGGTGCCACCAGCCCTGTAGGCGCCACCAGCCTTGTAGACACCACCATCCCCATCAGCACTACCAGCCCTGTAGGCACCACCAGCCTTGTAGGCGCCACCATCCTGTAGGTGCCACCATCACTGTAGGCGCCACCATCCCCGTCGGCGCCACCATTACTGTAGGCACCACCATCCCTGTCGGCGCCACCAGCTCTGTCAGCGCCACCAGCTCCGTTGGCGCCACCAGCACTGTAGGCGCCACCAGCTCTGTCGGCACCACCAGCCTTGTAGGCACCACCAGCCTTGTAGGCACCACCAGCCTTGTAGGCACCACCATCACTGTCGGCAGCACCAGCCTTGTAGGTGCCACCAGCCCTGTAGGTGCCACCAGCCTTGTAGACACCACCATCCCCATCAGCACTACCAGCCCTGTAGGCATCACCAGCCCTGTAGGCGCCACCATCACTGTAGGTGCCACCATCACTGTCAGCACCACCATCCCCGTCGGCGCCACCATTACTGTAGGCACCACCATCCCTGTCGGCGCCACCATTACTGTCAGCACCACCATCCCCATTGGCGCCATCATCACTGTAGGCGCCACCATCACTGTGGGTGCCACCAGCCTTGTAGGCGCCACCAGCCCTGTAGGCCCCACCAGCCCTGTAGGCCCCACCAGCCCTGTCGATGCTACCATCCCTGTAGGTGCCACCAGCCTTGTAGGCGCCACCAGCCCTGTAGGTGCCACCAGCTCTGTCGGTGCCACCAGCTCTGTTGGTGCCACCAGCTCTGTCGGCACCACCAGCCTTGTAGGCACCACCAGCCTTGTAGGCACCACCATCACTGTCGGCAGCACCAGCCTTGTAGGTGCCACCAGCCCTGTAGGTGCCACCAGCCTTGTAGACACCACCATCCCCGTCAGCACTACCAGCCCTGTAGGCATCACCAGCCCTGTAGGCGCCACCATCACTGTAGGTGCCACCATCACTGTCAGCACCACCATCCCCGTCGGCGCCACCATTACTGTCAGCACCACCATCCCCGTCGGCGCCACCATTACTGTCAGCACCACCATCCCCATTGGCGCCATCATCACTGTAGGCGCCACCATCACTGTGGGTGCCACCAGCCTTGTAGGCGCCACCAGCCCTGTAGGCCCCACCAGCCCTGTAGGCCCCACCAGCCCTGTAATGCACCACCATCCCTGTAGGTGCCACCATCCCTGTAGGCACCACCAGCCCTGTAGGCGCCACCATCTCTGTCAGTGCCACCAACTCTGTTGGTGCCACCAGCCTGTCGGCACCACCATCTTGTAGGCACCACCAGCCTTGTAGGCACCACCATCACTGTCGGCAGCACCAGCCTTGTAGACACCCACCAGCCCTGTAGGTGCCACCAGCCCTGTAGACACCACCAGCCCTGTCAGTGCCACCATCATCACTGTAGATGCCACCATCCCGGTCGGCGCCACCATTACTGTCAGCACCACCAGCCCTGTAAGCACCACCAGCCTTGTAGGCACCACCATCCCCGTCGGTGCCACCAGCCTTGTAGGCGCCACCAGCCCTGTAGGCGCCACCAGCCCTGTAGGCGCCACCAGCCCTGTAGGCCCCACCAGCCTGGATGCCAAGGTGGGCCCTCTTGTCACCCCCGTCACCGTTGCTTCCCCCACCCTGGCTGCAGCCACCACCACCCCCAGCCAGAACACCCATGCTGCTGTGTGTATTCATGCGTCCAAGGGCACATATGCGGTCTGCAAACCTCATCTTCTCTTTTCTATACAGCTGCTCCATAACTGCCAACAGCGCCATGGTATTATCCATGTAGACCTTGTCGAACTCCGCCTGGGAGGCACCACGCCGTGCCACAATTGGGCCGTGCCACAATTGGGACAAACGGCAGGATGCCCTTGCTCTTCAGCTTCATATCTGGGTGGTGGGATAGAAAGGGGCAAAAGTAGGTAAAGTTATCCTGTATATTACATAGGCACTAATCATTTGGACAATTAGAAAGCTCAGTGCGTGTAAGAGGGATCAGCTCCCCTGGCATCTCCCAACTGAGTACTCTTTGCCTGGTGTTACATTGGTGCGAATTGCTAGGAGGTGGGAACTTCCCGGATCGATTCCGGTTGCGAATAAATCGCACACCAGGCATGATGCAGCATACTCTTACCCCAAAGGTGGATGCCCGGGCGGGCGAGAAGTCTACCAGCTGAGTAAAAAACAAAGTCCTCCATCTCGGACGGGGACTGACGAAATGTCAATAACACTCAAATTCATAATCCTATGGGATCTTAAACAACATAAATCCTACGGGATATGCCCGGGGGCGCCCGAGGACGTTCGCTCGAGGGGGGGAGGAATGTAAGAGGGTTCAGCTCCCTTGGCATCTCCCTGAGTACTCTTTGCCTGGTGTTGCATTGGTGCGAATTGATAGGAGGTGGAAACCCTCAGATCGAGATCAGTTGCAAACACGTCGCACACCAGTCACGATGTAGCATACTTTTACCCCATTAGGTGGATGCCCGGGTGGGCAAGAAGTCTACCAGCTGAGTAAAACCAAAGACCTTCATCTCAGACAGGGGCTGACTAAATGTCATTATAACAAACGGGATCTCAAACAACCAAAAGCCTACGGGATATGCCCGGGGGCGCCTGAGGACGTTCACTCGAGGTGGGAGCAATGTATGAAGGGTTCAGCTCCATTGGCATCTCCCTGAGTACCCTTTGCCTGGTGTTACACCCTGGCCATAGACAACAGCACAGCAGAAATGTTGTATGTATGTTGTTACAGGGTGGTTAACTTCGCCAGCGGCCCCCTTTCCTGGGGCAGTCCCTGCTCTCCCCTGCTAGAGGGGCAACCTAATCCGTCACCCCATCCGACTTCCAAATGTATTCGTTGGGTTCGGCAACTCACCACCAGCATCCAACCAAATCTAGCGGATCAACGGCGCATCAACTTAGTTCATGGTCAGCTCGCAAGTTGATATTATCACGTCCTACATCGTCCATATGATGGGGGGCCACCTCCCATTTCAACACTCCTCAAACACCCGAGGAGCTGGCAGGCGGATTTGAACCCGTTGTATGTATTTGAGTAATCTATAGACCATAAATATCGGGATGCTAAACAACCTGGGATTATCACCAATAGACATGATGACTCACCCCGCTGGTTGTTCTTGATGGCATGGGCCATGTGGAACCACAGGGCATCCCACACCGCTTTCTGCACCTCATCACTCTCGCCCTTCAGCTCCTCATGTGCCTCCTCCCGCTCCATTTTTAAGCCAAGGAGCTTTGCAAACCAGGAAGTAATCAGCGTTAGGGCGTCGACTGTAAAATCCTCTGGTGTCTCCTTCATCTTGGGGATGTCCTTGATGAGACCATATTTGAGGCTCGCGCTTGCCATCCTGCGGGAAAGGTGCATGTGTGGACATGCCATCTAGTCACAAAGCCACACAGTACATGGAACCCATGCATATCACGCCATGATTCAGCTAGCTCACAGCACCCAGCTAATAGTCTGCTGGTATCTGTACACCATACACCCGGTAGCTAAAAGGGTAATGTGAATGCCTGCCACAACCCATATGAAGATTATTGAGCCCTCTAGTGTCAGGTGGTGCTAGCTATCTACTCTGACCCACACACCCAAGGCTGTAGCCGGTGTTCAAGAATGACGCCTCCTTGCTCAACGGCTCCCAAACTGGTGCCCATTTTCCAGGCACAAAGTTTGGCATGTTGTTTTGGTCGCTTTTCGTTTTCTTAGGCACCGCTTTGGTGGTCGATGCCGTCTGCGACTCCTGCTTCTTGCTTCCATGCCTGAAGTAGCAGTTTCAAAACGGATCATGTTCACATCATGAAAGCCTAGGATGCAAGCTTATTATGACCGCACACGAGACAGCGTCATACTTTGTGGTGCCGGGCGCAATTGCCTTGATGACCGGCCATGCCCAGGCGTTGCCCAGGAGCTGCTCGAGTATCGACATTGTCAGGTTCACATTTTTTGCAGCCAGTTCACCATAGAACTTTCTAAAGTCCTCGTAGTCCATGCGACTGTCCATCAAACACTTCATAAGCGCTTGAGTGGCATTAACGCCCAAAGCACTCCGTACATGGCTCGGGACGTTCGGGTTAAAATCTTCAGTTGCGTCAACAGGCGCAATGGCTGCAGGCGCCACTCGCTTATCAGAGGTCGGCCTCGTCACAGCTGGGCGACGCGCTGGCGGCTGGTCGAATCTTCGCCTTTTCTCGGCTGGTTTAGTGGACTTCTCCATCTCGCACTCAGAGTCACTGTCAAATTCCATTATAAAATTAGCTCTACGCATTATTAGATAGTCGGGGCGAGTAGGTATGTGTGGCTCAGAGTAGGGTTCGGTTGCAGCCTAAACTGTTTCAGCACGGCAATCTAATATTTTGGGAGCCAGATTAAGTAAATTATTACAATTACAACATCGGTTGTTATTGTGCTGAAATGGCTATGTTCAGTAAGACTATTATCCTGCGAAGTGCCGTACTGCCAAGCGATTGGTGGGAATGAAAAACAGGCGTCATTAAAAACGGTCGATGATGTTAATATATACCAAAATCTTAATTTGTCCATGCCATTGACGTAAGTATGGCAGTGGATGGATGGATGGATGGATGTTACAAGCTTCAGCGAGCTCGTACGGCCCAAACGAACCCGGAGGCTCATGAACCGCTTTAACAGCGCCGTCGATAGGGAAAAAGAAAAAAAGAGAGAAAGTAAACGAAACAAACAAACAAACAAACAGGAAACGAAAGTTTTACGCGAGAAGAAATCGAGTGTTTATGAGAAAGAAAAGCGTGAATTTGACCCTGACAACACAATTGCCTGTTATCGCCGAGAAAGTTAGGTAGCTAGGTGCTCATGCCGGGAGCGGAACATCTCAAAAATTGCCTTTGCAAGACCGCGCTGATCATCCACTTGCATGATATCACGGATATCCGCGTTGACGGGCACATGTGTACACCGAGGTCCCATTGCTTAAACGTCATCGCGTGATCCGTACTCACTACTAACTTATTGTGGGGAAGGCCATTGCGTCTGCGACCACACTCCCGCGGTACCCAAACCCTTCAAAGACAACTCCGATCAGCCATTTGGCTGTTAGTGGGAGGGCGGGTGGGCCGCTCGCACGGCAATCGAGTAGAGAGTACGAAAATAACCTAATGCAGTCATCGACAGCAGAAAACGTAAGCCTCCAGCCTCAGGCCGACTCTCTTACCTACCATTCATATTTTCTACCTCGTTCCCAAGACTCCGCCGCGTTGCCTCTAGTTCGACTCGTGCCACAGGTAACTTCGCTCGTCGCTACTTTGCCATTCACCTTCGCCTCCACCCAGCCTCTGCTTCTCCACAGAAGCGGCGACCTCCTTCGCCGTTGTTACGCCTCGTCTATGCGAATCCTCCTCATCCGACTGGGTCTTCTGCCTACCCGGTGCGCGCCCCTCTCTCCGCGCATCCGTCTCTCCGGTCCTCTCTAACGGTTGCCTACCTTACTGCAGGACTCGCCCCTTGCCTGTCCGTTGCCGGGTAGGCTTTTCTTGCCTTCCCCGGCCCCACTTGGGGCGCCCCTCCTTGGCTCGTCCACTACCTTACTTCCATCCGTTCCTGCCCCTC